TCGGCGTCGCCGCACGTGATAAAGCCACGCGCCGCACAAAGCCACGCGGCCCTGTCACGCAGGTAATTTAAAAATAGCAACCGCGGGGCTCGAGGGAGGGGGAGGGGAGGGGAGGAGGAGAGGGTGTAATCGGGACGGGAGGCGTCGCGGCGCCGCGCGATGCTCTTTTGTTTCCGCGTCTGCGCGCCGCGTCCCGGCCTTCACGTTGCGAAGCTTTCCGCGCAGCGCCGCCCTGTTTTTGTCAAGTTGTGTACGTAACCCTCCCTCTTTGTGGACCGCGTGATGGTGTGATGCCCCACGCTATCTCGCCGGCCCGTGTCCGTTTTCTGCCCAGTTTCGCTGCGAGAGAAAAATGCGTTCGCTCACGAGATCGGAAAATTGACACTTTGTTGTTGTTGTTGTTGTTTTTTATAAATGAAAACCGTACATGGTTTATTTTCGTTTAACTGTGATTGTCGGTATGTATTGTCGACTTGTATTTTCATGGGATTATGTGTCCTACTTTTTCACCTGATCACAATAAATGGTTCAGGGACATCTCACATATTTAAACAGCAATCTAATCTTAATCATTAACACGCGAACGTTAACATTAATGTTTGATAGAGTATAAACAAGCAAACTGTTGATACTACAGCAACATATTCTTTTTTGAATTATTGTGAACGTTATTATAACGTCATTATTATTACGTCGTTATTACAACGAAATTACATTATAATAATGTAATGTCCACTCTCCTAACACTTCAATCTTTGATTTATTTATTTATTTATTTATTTGTAGCAGGTAGGAAACGGGTCAAGGATTTACCTAGTAAATGGGTGAATATCTACGGTGGAGAAAAAATTTAGAAATAAAACTTTCCAGTAACAACCAATATTTATTTAACAACAATTAATTTCAATAGAGAAGACAACAAATTGAACGCTTAGTGTTGATGGAACACAATCATGGAAAAAGAATACTAGATGTACATAAATAAAACGAAAACATAGCATTTTTGCCCTGAAAATAAATAAATAAATAAATATATAAATAAATAATCTCCTGAACCCAAATCTAATACAAATTAATTTAGGAGTGAGCGGAGAGTAACGACAATTTGGTCGTTTGATATAATAATTAATAATTAATACAGAATTACTGAACGAAGTGCGTACAATTTCAAAATTGGCAGAGTTTCCGAATTGCGGAGTATCTCTCTTTAAATATTAAACATAATTACATGCTAAGCTGCTTCAGAAAATTGTGATTGAGTTTTAAATCCTCAGTGAATCACATAACAACTTCAATAATCAAAGGAATTCCCTTCAGTCAGAATGTAGGAATAGCCATTACATAGAAAAATTACACATCTGCTTGGATAACCCTTATTACCAATTAATAACTTTGCGTTCATCTGTACAAAGTGGTCTTTCACCAAGCGGTGCCAATTTGGGCCTCGCATTTACAATTTAGAAAGCCGCAAGACGCTCTCTGAGGTTGCGACACCAACTGGGTGTCACTCTGCTTCGGAGAAGAAGGGTAGCGCCAAAATTTTGGGGCGCTACTCTCTGAAGCAGGATAAGATCTGCGTGCTTTCACGAGAAGAAACATCAGAGGTTCTGCGAAAAGGGCCCCAGGTCGCGGAAATGCAGGAGCAAAGCGGCTCGAGCCGTCACAACGCCAGGCAAAAAAACCATACTGATTCTGTAACACACACAACAATTTCATTAGAAACAGTGAATAAATACATAAGAGATAGAGCTGCCTTTATGCAGAGTATCTCACAATAAATGCTGAAGCATAAATAAATAATATTATCTACAATAAACAGGATGAAAGCATTACATAAACATCGGAGCGATCCAAATAGCAGACTTCAAAAATTAAGGCCATGTACAATTATAATATTACCACTAAGTAAACAAAACATTAATCTTAAAATTAGGTACTTCAAATAATAAACAAATTATTTACATATGTACAATTCTTGGGCCGCGTCCAGCTAACCGACCGAAAAATTTAGATGTTTTACCTAAAAATGGTGTCGGCGCTTGGATTGAGCGTCGTCCAAGAAAAAAAGAAATTAAAACCAGGCAAGTGAAAAACATATTTACAACGGAGTCAATCCAGAAAAACAAAGGAAAACAGGTACAAATTTATACGTGGCTAAGGGCCACGGGCGTCAAAGAGTATGAAAGCGTGTTGAAGCGAGCTCGGAGCTCTGTTACATAGAGAAAAAAATAGTTACAATATCATTCCGCAGTCCTACATTGCACGGCGAAATTGACGGAATACCAGCGCAATCTGTGAGTGAGATTAGTGGTTTACAAAAATAATTGACAG